TTTTTATTCGATTTATATAGGGTCATATCTTAGGCTAAGCTAATTTTATATTTACATGCAGTTTGTGGATCTCTCGTAATTATCAGGGATTAGCCGAAGGAGTTTCGTATGATGTATAACATAAAAATTTGTATCACATGAGATCTTCCCTAGTTCCCTGTGCGAAGCGCCTACAGCCCAGTTTCTCGAGAGTTCCAGGCGCTGACGAGTTTCTATAAATCACGAGATGATCAGCTATTTTTTTACATACACGGTCTTATACAGAATCACATTTATTTTTCAGGTGTATCATTATACATGATAAAAATACTAGGCTTGATATGAATAGTCCTGAAACCGCAAAACTTTATTATTTGATTTATGATAATCATGCTTTACAATACTATGTATAAAAAAAATGCTAAATTTTGAGAACGTGCCATGTGGCTCGATCTCAGAATCCCACTATTATTTGGCTTTAGGTTCGTGTGTTCTTACTAACCTGAGACGCTACATATCTGATATTATCATCACTTAGATTCAAAATAGATGTTGCTGAAAACGATTTTATTCATCTGATGAATACCATCTGTTGAATTTTATTATTGGTAATACGAAAAAAAAGATTATAGACCTTTCTTGCCCTGTTCAATTTCTTCCGAATAGCGTTTTTGGTAACCTCTTTGGAAAGCTGATCTTTAACCTCATCGTAAAGCTTCTTTAAGGCTTCATGTTCTTTATATCCTTTTCTATAATGGACAAGGCGTTTCTCTAGTTCCTCTCCATAGTGATAATAAGCTATAATGAGTTCATAGCGTGCCTTTTCATTTCGCTCTTCAGCATTAGTGATCTTAAAATACAGATCAAAAAAAATTTGGGTGCTTCTATCTTCTTGTATTGATTCTCTTTGGAGACCTTTCTTTTCCTTAATTACTGAAATTTGAGTGGTATCAGAAGACAACTCCCAGATGAGTCTTTTTAAAATGTTAGAGTCCTCATTTAGATCACGTTTCTTGGATTTCTTACTGGCTGAAGAATCCGTATCCTCATTAGCCCATTTCTTGCTCTTACTGTTAGAAGCTAAGTCAGTTTCCTCTGGTAGAGTTGATTCTACTTTTCCATCCTCATTATTCTTCTCATCCATGTCCATTTCTTCTGAAGACAATGACGGATCTTTATCATCAGCCATACCACACGAGCATTCTAATACACCCCTCTTATCAGGTTTTCCCGCACAAGTTCGATGGACTATATCACTACAAACATTTAAAACGAGCGACCTAGGTGGGTTTTCTGTTAAAATAGGCTTATCACATTCTTGACACACCTCACAATCCTGGATAGTATCATTGGATTTAATAGATGAAAAGTCTGGTTCTTCATGAAGAATATCTTCAGGGAGATATTTTAGTATACTCAACGCAAGGGATTTAAGGGATCTGTCACGCTTCGGTTATATTTTATAAATATCACTGCTTTGGATGTTGTTAGTTTGATCTTCTGTATCCGATTCCTCTAGCTCCTCCATATTGTTATCAACAGGAGTATTCAGACTTTTGACTCTAGCGGAGCTCTCTTGATTTTCCATAATAATGTTTTTTCTGAAAAAAAAAGATAATATTTCTAGCTTATTTTATAGGGTCGCAGGAGAAAGATATTGCCAGATTTTCATTAGCAATTACACACAGCATGGCATCATTCATTAGCGGTCCCTTTAGGACTAGGCCCTTGCAAATCAATAAAAAAAAGACTATTATACTCCCAGTTAAGGCTACGATTGTCGTAAAACATGAAAGCCTCTGAAACAAATATGGCAATCCCCCTTCGATCAAAGATTTTCAGGAAAAAAGTTTTCTGAGCAATGATCACTGCTCTGGACTGGCTGGCTTAGAAGAACAATCATCTTTTTGCGCAAACTCTAGCTCCTATGTCAATCTATCCAATATTAATTTAAGACCAATTATATAGACTTCTTGTCGAAATTCAGGTGCAACTCCTGTTAGAAACACCTTTTTAATATTTTTATTTGCATTTTCTATAATTTCATCTAAACTTTCCATATTATGCAAATTGATATTAAATTCTATACTTTACTATATGAGCCTATATCTTTAATCGAAAAAATATTATTAATGGCAAATACTGCGTGGGATTAGTAGTGAACTTACGCAAAGCGCCTTCAGCCCTGCGGTCTTGCGTCGATTATTTCTAGATTTCTTATCCATTACTAGTTAATTTGGCTGATTCAATAATTAGTTGATTTAATGTTAACAGAACGGGATGGATATCTTTTACATTTTACTTTCTTATTACCAGATCTTTCTTCACACATTTTACTTTGTTAAGTGGCGTAAAAACTGATTCCATGAGTTCCTCCTCTATTATATAAGCTTCTTCAGCTGAACTCGACTCAGATGTACTGGACTCAGATGATTTGGTCATAGCATCATATAGATAATTGATTTCTCGGCTAATGCTTTTAAGATTTTGATGTATTTAGTTATATCACGTTCTAACGTTATAATGTTCTCTTTGATCTCTTGAATAGTATATACCTTTTCTTTTTCCGAATATGTGTAATATTTTTTAGA